GCGTCCCCCTCCACCCCCCTCCTCCACCCCCCCAGGCCTTCAAGTCCCACCCCGTCCACTCCGCCCTGGCTGCCTGCGCCGCCATGCGCCCCTCTGTCGACATCTCGGTCGGCGGCGACAACGACGACACGGGCGTGGGTGCGGGCGCCGCCCGTACCGACTTCCGCAGCGTGGCCGCCACCGTGGCGTGAGCTGGCGCCCCGGCTCTGGCGGCTGGGGAGCACGCAGCAGCTGGCCGCCGCAGCAGCTGGCAGCTGGCGGCGGCTTCTGCCGCAGGCTGGCCGCCGCCACGGCGCGATCGCTGCAGCGGCTGTGGCGGCAGCCTGCGTCGCACGCTGAGCACGCGCGGTGTCTTCGCTGCCAGCCTCCTCTGCCTGCCTGCGTTTCCTTCACTTGACCTCGCTGGTTGGCTGGCCTGATTGGGCGCAAGCCAATGCAGGCGTCGCCCCTACCGTTCTCGTGTCAGTCCGCTGCTTCACGGCATATGCAGTTGGCTATCCTGTGGGACCTTACAGACTCATTGAATCAAGGATAGGCTCCTTCTTGAGCAGGGAAAGCAGGAGCAGGAGCAGCCATTTGGCGAAGGATCGGCATGAGCCCCTTTCCTGGCCGCGGGCGAAGCATTCGTTGGTTGGCAGTATTCAAGGGTATGCAGCGGTATTTGGCTTCAGGTTTGTGGCATGCGTGCAGTACCGGGGCAGTGCGGTGTATTGGGTGATTTACGCAGTCGGCAGTGCGGGAGGGAGGGAGGTGGCGGGAGGAGGAAAACTGCCCAATTAGTGCGTGGTGTGAAAGGCAGAAACGAAAATAGCTTGGGGAGCTAGGAAGGAGAAGGGTGGGGTTCAGTGCAGAAGAATGCGAGACAAAAACAGAATAAATATCAGCACTGGCAGCAGCGTGCGTGCTGCCGCCGCCCAAACATTAAACAGCAGTGCGATGGTTGACTAGGAATGGACGCAGTCCATCAGGCAGTGGCATCAATCGTCATGTCAGCAGGGGAGGGCAGGGCAGCGGCATGGCTGGGAGGGTGGAGGAAAGGGCACTAGCGAAATGAAACAACGGTTGTAACCCGCACAACGTGCAGAACCAGTGAGGAGGGCTTGAAGCGCCTTCAGGCGCGCCAGGCGGCCTCTCCAAAAGGCTAGAGTGCCAGCTCAGGGCACATCAGGTGCGGCCAAGCCCGCTGCTGCCGGCGGCAGCAGTTTGGGCTGCGTTGCCGCCATGCCAGCGGGCCACATGGCCTCAGTCGTCCTTGGCCAGAAACGCGCTGGGCTTGGGCGCCCAGAAAGGCACCTCCCGCGGCTCCCGGAACTCCTCCTGCCCGGCAAAGCGGCGCAGTGGGGTCATCCCTGCGCTGGCGGCCAAGCCCCGAGTGTGCCACAAGGGCGTGTGGCTGGCAGGCGCTGCCCCTGTGGGTGCCCCATGGCTGAGCTGCGTGGCTGCATGGGCAGCCCGGCCCGCGCCTCCGCGCTTGGCTGGCTGAGGCGCTGCAGAAGGCACGGCACGCCGGCCGCTGGCCGCAAGCGTCGCGGCGGCAGCGAGGGGCACCAGGGCGGCTGCTGCGCACAGGGCGAGGCGGGCGGCGGGGTGGGCGTGCGTGTGGGTGCGGCTCTGGCGGTGGGCCGCTGCCACAGCGTCGTCGGCCAGCTGCTCAACGCCAGTCTCCTCCTCCTCGCTGTCAACGGGGTGGCTGCACATGCTGTCTGAATCACTGCACGCACTGCCAGGCCCGCTGCCCGCCTCGCTGGCAGTGCTGCTCGGCGTGCGCTGCCCGCTGAGCTGGCGCCGCACCTCCCGCGCCGCCGTAGGCACCGGCGTCACCAGCCCCGACAGCGGCGAGCTGGGCAGCGCCAGGTGGCTGTCGCTGCCGCTCCTGCCGTGGCTGCTCCCATGGGAGGCGGCCTTGCCGGTGGCGACTGCCAGCTGCAGTGCCGGCACGCGGGCCTTGGCGGGCGGCGCTGGCACGGGCGGTGCTGCGGCAAGCAGCGCCAGCAGGAGGCCGCGGTCGCGGTGCTGAGCCGCCCAGAGCGAGAACACGGTGGCAGCCTGCACACAGGGTATGGGTTGGCAAGGTAGTGAGCGAGCGGCAGCACCGGCACCGGTGGGAAGCGGGATGGGCATGCATCCAGGCAGGTGCTGCGGCACCCAAGCCAGCTGCCCTTGCTTGCGCCCTGTCACGGCCGCCCGCACCTTCACCTGCTGCTGGGGTGCGCTGCGGAGCCCTGAAACCGCGAGGGCGCGCGCTGTTAGCTTGCGGGGCGCCTGGAAGACCAGCAGGAGGTAGTCCTGCAGCTGCTCGATGTGCTGCGGGTCTAATGACAGCCCCAGCTGCGACGCGAGCCGTGCACCCGCGTCCATGTTGTTGTGTGCCCCGAGCAGGGGGCGGCGGCGTGGAAGGCAGCGCTTTAGGCTTGTGCAGGCCTTTCAAGGAGTTTCGCGAAGCCGTGCAGCCCTTGCAGATGAGTTAACTCGCCGCTTAGGACACGTCGCCGACACGCAAGCCACGTTGCGTTCAGCCCTCCTTCATCTGGCCGTGCATGATGCTAAAATTGAGCAGGCAGAGGCGCAGAGCCGCATGTGACAGGCGAAGGGTTTGGCGGGAGGGACCAGCAGCCCCGGCGCCCTGCCCGCCGGCGCCCTGCCGGCAACAGCTCCGCAAGCAGCCTGTTGTCTGGGATCGGGAGCCTGCATTGCAATGCTTCCCCCTGGCCCCTCCACCTGTCATGTTGACGTCACATTTGTGAGCTGCTACAGGCTGCCGGTGCCTGGAGGCTTGAAGTCAGTAAATCTTCACTTTAGCCTCACGCCCAGCCAGATCTCGTTCATGCGGGTGCTGAGCGAGTGCAGCGGGCCGTACTGCGCCAGCCGGAAGTACCCCCCCGCCTCCGCCTCCCCCAGCCGCAGCCCATCTCGCTCCAGCGCCGCCACCAGCTGCCCGCGGCATCGCTCACACGCCTCCTGCGTGGCGTTGCCCTCAAACTGCCGCGCCGCCACCACCTCCCCGCCGGCCACGCCCAGGACGACGTCAGGGTTGGATGGCGCGGGAGGCAGGGCGCTGTCTGCGCCGCCGCCGCCGCCGCGCAGCACGATGTGCACCTGCATCTTTTTCGATCCCTGCGGCGGCCGGGACGGAGCGGGAGGGACAGCAGGAGCAGGCGCGTGGGCCACAGGGCTGTTCACCAGGACTGTTCACCAGGGCTGTTCACCAGACGGCAGGCCAAAGAACAGGCGCGTGGGTGGGGCACAGGGCAGCGGCACAGCAAGTGGGCCACGAGGGGCTGGCCCCAGCACATCGGGCCAGCCCTCTGTTCTTCTGCTGCTGCTCCCAAAAGCGCGCCTCGGGTGAGTAGCACATGACGACGGGCTGCGTCTCGCGGCACCGCGCCTGCTCCGCGTTGTTGCCGCTCATGTAGCTGCCCAGCATGAGGAAGCCCTCGTCCCGCCGAAAGTACTCAACCTGCTTGCAGGCGGGCAGGCAGGCAGGCAGACAGTGTGTGTGAGTGGGTGATGTAGCGGCGGCACATTGGGAAGGCACGGAGGGAGACTGGCACCGTGCAGGAGCGGTACGCGGCCGGCCGGGCAAGTGTGCACAGAACCCCCGCTGCCACAAAGCAGCTGCACACGGCAATGCACGGCAGGAGGTGCGGCCGACGCAGGAGCTCATCGAGGTCGCCAGGGGCATGCACTGCGAGCGGCTGCTATCCACCTCTGCCACTGGGTATGCATCGAACAGCCTCAAGCTGTAGTCCTTGGTTTTCTGGATGGGCGTGAAAGGGACCAGCACAGGCCCAGTCTCGTCCGGAGGGGCCTGCGCTGCGGCCGGCTGCTCGGTGCTGGGCTTGCCAAAGCCAAACAGGCTGACCGCCCGGAGCGCCGCTGGCCGGCGGCGGCCGGGCAGCGGTCGCCCCGCCCAGCACGAGCGGCGCGCGATGGAGTCAGAGCCTACATTACAGGCTGGTGCTGCTAGTGGCTGGTAATAGTGGTTGGAAGTGCGGGATGTGAGCCCGCCCGGCATAGTAGCGAGGTGTGCAGGAAGCAAATAGCCAGATGCAAGCAGGATGAATGGATCGAATCAACCGAGGGAAATGTGGCGCGCGCAAGGCTGAGGCGGTGTCTAGCAGGAGGGGGGGCGGCGGCAGCGTGGCCCAGCGCGACGCCCGCCAGCGGAGGCGCGCTAGCTGCTGTGCGGCGCCTCAGCGCGCCGCGCCGGTCACCGCGGCTGGCAAGCCCATGCCCTCAGCCAGCTCTGCCTGCCTCTCCAGCGCGGTGTACGCCCGCCCGGCGGCGGCATCTCCCGGGAAGGGCGGCAGCGTGAAGTGCACATCCGCCGCGTTCAGGGCGGCCGCCACCATCATGTACAGCGCAGACCTGCGGGAAGGCCAGGATGGAGGCAGGTGAGGGAGGTAGGCGTGCAGGCAGGCAGGCAGGCAAGCAGGCAGGCAGGCAGAGAGGCAGGCGGGGACCACCACCCTGCCGCCACCAAACAGCTGCCGGTGCCCAGAGCCCACCTGGCCCGCGCGCATCTGCCTGCATCCACCCCGTTGTGGCTGAACTCGTACCAAATGCCGATAGTCAGCTTCATGGGGTCACCCAGCGCACGCACATTGACTGGGAGGGAGACAGGAGGGGCAGGATGCCGGGCAGAGGAGCGTGGGAGCGCGGGGAAGAGGGGTCAGCGGCGTGCGTGCAGCGGGGCGGCCGCTCAGCGCGGGGCCGGGCCGGGCTGCCTGACACAATGCGCAGCCGCACGCACAACCATGTACAATGCACAACCGCGTGCGCGCACGCACACACACACACACACACACAACACGCGGCTGCGCGCGCGTGTTGCCGCCGCCATCCCCCACCTGAGCTGCTGCCGGTGAACTCGCCGGTGTTGGCCTTGAGGTGCGCTTCCACCGCGCCCCGCAGCATCTCCACCACCTCCAGCGGGGTCACCAGGTCCAGAGACAGCTGCGGGGCAGGGAGGGGCAGGGCAGGGCAGGGCAGGCATGGAGGAGGGAGGGGAAACGCAGCTGGCCGAGGCTGGTCCGTGGGAAGGCCCGCTGCGGTGGTGCCACACCCTCACGCCCATCCGCTTCCTAGCCGCCACCACCACCACCACCGCAACCACCGTCACCACCGCCGTCAAGAAAACTGCCGCCATCCGCTTCTTACTCCTAGCCGCCACTGCCGCGCAGCATGCCGCATGCCTGCGACGTCGCCAGCGGCGCGGCGCAGGCCTCACCTTGAGCACTTCGCTCTTGTTGGTTGAGCGGGACAGGTTGAACAGCTGCTCGTTGTTGAGGCGCGAGTTGGGCCAGTAGACGCGGGCGCCGTCCCAGCGCGCCAGCACCGTGATCAGCAGCGTGATCTCCTCCACCTGGCGGCGGCAGGAGCGGCGGCGGCGGCCGGGAAGGCGCAGCTGAGAGCGGCTGAGAGGCAGGCGGACCGCAGGGAGGCCGCGTGCCCACAGCAGGTGGTGCGCACGTAGATGGGTGGTGCGGCAGGAGGGAAGGGCGCGGCGTGCGTGCGACGCAGCGCGCGGGCGGCTGCTGCGCTTTCAGGGAAGGGCCCCCGCCCTTGCCACCCCCAACCCGCGCCCGGCGGCAGTGACAGCAAGTGACGCCACCGCTGCTATCTATACAAGGAGGGCATCACGAGGGCGCAGCCACTTGCAGGCCCCTTGAAGGCCCCCCACCTTGTGATTCTCGCCAGTCAGTACCAGCGTGTCGCCGACATCGTATGGGTGCACCACAAACAGCCACACCACGCACCTGCACGCACGTTTCGGGGGGGCGCAATGCGCGGCGCCGTCAGCGCTGTCTGCTGGGCTGCGGCGCGAGCAAGCTGCCGAGCAGGCCAGCCGGGCGCAGGCCCCTGCATCCGAGGCCCCCAGGCCCGCTCACTCGAACACTGTGCGTATGGAGTTGCCAAAGATGAAGGTGAAGGCGAGCATGATGGAGGAAAAGGTGAGCCAGGCCTGGGTGACGTCGATCTGCGTGGTACCGCGCAGGGAGGCGGGGAGGCACACGTGGGCATATGCCGCTCCTGCTCACGTCGGGCTGCACGGCGCCGAGGCGCCCAGCAGCCTGGCGGAGCACCGGTATGGCTGAAAGCCACAGCGCCGCATGTACTGCCCCAATCTGTACCGCGCCCACCCGTACCGCCCCGCGCCCTGCCCACGTTGAATATGGCCAGGTAGAAGAAGATGCAGAGGGTGTGGATGATACAGCCCAGCAGGCGCTCCAGCTTGGAGATGACTGACTTGGCGTCGCGCAGCGTCAGCGCCAGGTGGCACCGCTCCTGCGGGCCGGCGGGCCGGGAAGGAGCAGCAGGCGCGCAGGGTTGGGTGGGCGTGCACGGGGCCGCTGCCGGGCGGGCACGTCCCTGTGTGCGCGGCAGCATCCTCAGCAGTGCCGCAGCGCCTGCAACTGCCTTCACCCGCAGGTACCGCCATCAACCGCCGCAACCGCCACACCCTGCCCCACGCTTCCCTCGCCCCACACTCTCCCTGCTGGTCCACCCTCCGCTACCTGCCCCAGTCCCACCACCAAACACCAAACACGCGCGCACGCGCGCGCGCGCGCGCGTGCGCGCGCACACACACACACACACACACACACACACACACACACACCTG